AATTGCCAGGCAATCGATTTTGAAATTGTCCTTTCACCCTTGTGTGTGATGTGGTTTGCCTCACAGTGATAAATCAGCAGCAGCTCTGTGCTGTGACTGTTCCTGCTGGAAGGTTCTCATTACCATTCAGGGGTTTTGCTGACTCATCAGTGAATCACAGGCAGCATTTCAATTGCTGAAGTGTGGCCCAGAAACCAGAGAAAGGATAGGAAACAGAGCCTATAAAAGCCTTTTCTTGAATTCTAAGACTGATTGGGTTCTTGAATAGGATGAACTTCTTTGGCCTTAGTGTTACTATTTCTTATGTATCCCAGAGGAAGTGACAGTGCATTCACTCCCTCCATCCCTGTCTTTAAATCTCAGTATTCTTGCTAATCTGTCAGGAGAATAAGAACAGTAACATGTAATGGACCAAATGTGGTGGGATTTTCTTTAAATTGGAAAGAACAGTCCCTTTAATCCCAGTAGCACTGGACTAAGATCTAAGGTTTTGATCCAACGTTCATTATTCACCAGCATCCCCAAGATAATTACACTAGTAATCTATAAGAAGATCAAGTTAAGCATCTTCTTGGACAGATGATTTTCAGTTACTAGTCAAAACATAAATCCAGTTTTTAGTTGCTATTTGGCATTTGTTTTATCTAGGTGTTGCTTAATCAGAGTTTTAATTAGAACTAGTTGCAATTTTGTCTGTCAAAATAAATGTGATCAAAACAGTAAAGCTTTCATGGAGCACATTGCTTTGCTGCCATTTACATTGGGGTAGGTTCTGTATCTCAGAGCAGGAACTCCCATCAGACAGGGTGAAATTATTAAGAAAATTTAGAATTTTGGATCTCAAAATGTGTATTCGCAGGCAATTTCCTGTGCCATTTTACAAGATTATGCTTTGGTAAAATGAAAATAAATATTTGATCTTCAAAGGCTTCAAAATCTCATGAAGCAGGGTTTTGTTCTTCATATAATTCTGACAATAGTCCTTCTGCTTTGTTCAACATTTTTTCACTCTGCTCATTTTGCAAATACCTGACCACATATAGTGTTCCTGAACAGTTTGGATTGTGTGCAACACACATCATCTTCAAGAGCATGTGGTCTAACAAAGCTTGTGGCAATCCTTTTGCCACTCCTGGAATTTTCTCTTCTTTTTTTCCAGATTCAGAGTGAGCACATCATCATAACTTTTTTTACAGCTGTTCAACTTCATATTTTTACCAGTGAAGAAAGCACATGAACTGATCCCATACTAGAGTTTAGAGAATAAATTGAAGGTTAAAATTCCAGGTATCTCAGAAGGCAAAAAAAAAGCTTTCTCAAGAGTAAAATTTTCTTGCAGAGTTAGTGTAGTATATAAAATAAAGTAACAAACTACTTTTCATATTCACAAGAAATTGGCTGGGTGATAATGGGCTTACATTTCAGCAGGGAAAACTTTAGTTAGACTTCAGGAAAAATAGATATAACTATATGGTTAGTTAATCACTAGAAGAGGAGACTCAGGAAGAACCATTATTTGAGTATTTTACAATGTGAATGAACAAGCCTCTGTCAGGAGGCCTGTAAAGAATGTTTCACCCTCGGTTCTTACATGCTGCTTGTAGATACTGAGTTTCAGTTCTGTTTCATTCTGGAGGAGCACAAGGCTGAGTACAATCTTGTGTTCTCAAGGTAACATGATGCCAAGGAAGGCAAACAAATGCCTGTGCTAGGCAGCCCTTTAGTACTTAGTACTGTAGAGTCTCTCCATGTGTCGTTTCACACAGTCAAATACTGTCTGATAGTTTGAGGTTACCAAGAACACAAACTGTTGTGGATATCTGGAGCAAAGGAGTGAATTTCTGAGCAATCTCTTCTAAGGCCAAGTCAAGCTGTCATTTCAGCAATGATAATACTTGCAGCAGATGAGTGGCAGTGGCATGTTGTTAAGTCTAACTGAACTCTTTGTGCAGCCTTTCTATTTAGAGTGAATTCAGAGAAATATTGAAAGGTAAATTACTTTGGATAGATACCTATATAGCCTGCAAACAAAAGAAAAAACAAAGCAGCAGTACTACTGAGGACAATGACTGTGACTGCTGTAAGATAAAGCTGTTACTGTCAGGTCATCTTCCTTCTGTTCATTGTTGTAATATCAGACATTGCAAAGGCTCTTGAGATGTGTAACCATAGAAGAACAGAGATCTTACTCATGTCTGCAGGAGACATTGTAACATCCATATGCAGCACAGTAGTTATGTGACATGCATTTGGAGCTTGGAGTTTACTACTCACTTTGCTGTTTATTTAAGGTGAAGGTTATGCAGCTATGAAATGAGCTGAAATTCACTTCAGGGTCAAGTTTGTAGAAGATTTTAAGAGTTAAGTAGTAGTTTGTTTGGGACTACTTCACTGTCAGTGGATCAGACAGAAATGTTCTCCTAAAGGAGCTGCTTTGGTGTCTGTGTAGGGAGTACCCCAGGAGTGTCGATGGAGGGATTGTGGCACTCTGCTGTCAAGGCAGACCACTTGACCCTTGCTCTGGTCTCATACAGAAGCAGTTCTGGCTGTAAATATTGGTAACTTGAGCTGAGAAGTCATAAGCAGCAGTAAGCTGTGCTGTGCCATGTCTTCTTTGCCTGCAAGTGTCTCCAACAACAGATGTGTTTCAGCAGCACCAACAGGAACAGCCTTGGACTTTTGCACTTTTTCTGTCACTGATCTTAGTCACTGATCACTGCAAGTGAAGAAGCAATTAGATATGAAAAGAATTATATGGGGCCTCAGTCCTGTGTGATACTGAGCCTGCCTGTACATTGTTATGCTCCAGTGGGTTGTAAGTCTGGACAGCTGAGAGCACTCTGCATTTTGCATGATCAAAGCATTGAGTAAAAAAACCCACAACATTTCTAATCAACAACAGAGACTCAAAAATTAGATTTATTATGAGCACTGCTTGACCAGCTAGATTAAGAGTAATTGAGGATGAGATAGCTTTAATTTCTTGGGAACTGTTGGTCTAGCACACATTTTATTTACAGTCTCCTGCCAAAAAATATCTATCGCCTATTGGCATCAATTTCTAGTGGACCACAGACTGCTCTGATGGCTGCAATTGCAATGAGGGATGCAACAAATCCACATGTGTGAGATGCACTGAGTGCCAAATACTAGGGTTGTTTCTCCCTGGCTCACAACTACAGACGTGTGTCAGTGCAAGACAGGAGCTTGAGAGCAGTCACAGGAGCTGCAATAGGGGTGGGAAGATGGGAACTTAATACTGTCTCAAAAAAGCAGGTGACAGCTCAGAGAAGAACAGAGAAGCAACACTGCAAGTGTCATGTTTTTAGTCTTATGATACTTTTTCTTTCACCATTTAACACTATTTACAGAAATATATTTGGGTTGGACTTTTAGGGTTCCTTTCCTAACAACTTTTCTACACTTTTTTTTTTATCATTCTCTAGTAGCTATATTAAAGTCATCTTTATAAATATTACTTGTGATGTCCACAGGAGACAATTACAACTGCAGCTGGAAATTATCAGGAGTAATAAGCTCTTAAAACCAAACTTCACAGTTCTCATGTGAATGACTAGACAGTAATATATCAGGAAAATAGAAATCAAGAAATAGAAGACTATGTAAAACATAGGTGTAACACAAAGCACTTCTAATATCAGGAATAGAATTGGTGTGCAAATCCAAGTAGACTGATACCAAGAAAGATTCCTGGACTTAGTTTTTCATTCTGTTGTAAACAATAAAGTAATCATCACAGAAAGGACTATCATTAATTCTGGAAAAGGAGACTGCAATGCAAGTTGTTGACTTTGGTGACCTTTTTTTGGTAAAAATTGTCTGGAAGAGATAAGAAAGTATTAGATGAGAAAGAGAACTCAAAGTAAAAGAGGTTGGACATATTTCATAATGTCAGCTGCCATCTCACCATCATGATGGGAGTAACCAATTTATTTACTGATAATGGAGGTGCCTTCTTAATGTATGTTCCAGTAGAAGGTTCTGAATGCTAAAATGACAAAGCTACCCACCAGTCTCTTACATGATCAGCCTTTCAGATGTCAGTCTCCACAACTGTGTAAATTCAGAGAGAGAAAGTGTTGGCTCCTTTCACCCTCTGAGGTATTGCTCTATTTTTAAAACCATGAAGGTTCTGCCCAGATTCCACCCAGCCCTTCTCTGATAGTGGTCAACAGCAACTGTAGGGAAGAGTACAAGAACATGAAGTATCTTCCCCACACTTGATCTTCACCCAGAAACTGCCTGCAAATTCTGAGTACAGCATATTAGCATTGCTATGGGACGGGTTTGCTCTGATGATCCCATGCAATTACCAGACTGAGTCCTCTAAACCTGTTTCCCACGTAGGACAATATGACACCCACTCCGTCAACACAAATTCGGGCTGAATATGGCATGTGATGAAAGAGTTTGTAGTTATCAAAGTTTGGGTTGTTTTGTTGTTTTTGTTGTTTTGGGTTTTTTCCACAAAAACAGTAGTAAGTCAGTATATGCAGATACACAGAAAGGAAAACCACCAAACTCTGTGGCAGAATTAGATTTATTTATAACTTACGGAATCTGAAGTTATCCTTAAATAAAAATAATATGGAAACAAACACAAAACTTGCACCAAAGAAACAGGAGAACGATGAAGTGAACAAGGTCCTGTGGGAACGATGTGAACAGAAATCATGGTTTTCTGGGATCATTCACTTACATTTAAAGTAAAAGTAGACCCTTACTCCCACAATATACAATGCACAGGGAATCTGGAACTCTTGCCCTAAATTATTGACAATCCATTGTTTAGTGTGAATCATATGTGCATAGTATTAAAAATCTATGTCCACATAAAACAGGATAAAATATTAATTTATAATATTTTTCTTTCAGCTGGTTTTTCCAGTGCTTCTGTGACCATATCAGAAGGTTTAAGCAACCTGTGTGCCATATGTGAAAATATCTGTCACGAATATGCAGAATTTCATTCCAAAGTTCTATTCTCCAGGGATTTTGAGCTCAGCATGGGTAAACAGGTGTCTGTGAAGATCAGAAGACTTTTCCTTAATTCCTGTTTGATTCAGATGCTTTAATATAATTTTGTTCATTTTCTTCAGTTCTTCTATGTTCTTCTTTTCAGATAGTAGTCTGCTTGATATTTGGTCCATCTTGTTTCTAGTTTGAACTTGAAAAGGAAAATACACCACACTAAATTATCAGCATTTAAGTTAAGAGCATCACTACCCTCACTTACATTCCTGAGAAACTTTGTAGGAAATTATGACGAGTAAAAAACATTAAACAGGAAACCAACTGCAGAACCTGATGATAAGAAGTTATACATCAGGTGGATTTACCTGCTCACTGCATTTTTAATTGGTTATTTTCTGCATTGTTCAGTTCGGGCAGTGCAATAACATAAATATTGCAAATAAATTTTGCAGTCTTCAGGAGTGTATCCATTCCACTGGTGTCCATGAGGAAAAAGTCTTATTTAGGGGCTCCAAGATGCTATTTGTGGGCAGTATGTGCATGTATGTCTCTAAAATTGCAATTACTACAGTAATTGTAGTTCAGCAGTAAAAAAACCCACATAGCAGACTACAGCCACATCACTGGATTTCTTAAGTGTTTAAATTATATTGGCATTTGGAGGCTAACCTACGCTGGCACATCAATGTGCAATAGCCATCACATACACTTTTGGAGCTATTTTTATTTTGTCCTTCTGAAGTTAACAAAATGTACCCATGGGTTTTGAAGCTGAAGTCTAATAGTGCCAATGCTAAATGAATCTATGCACATGGATTACAAACATATTATCAGATTATATATCATATCACACACACACACACACACACACACATATATATATAAATATAAGATGTAGCATAAACTGAAATATCACTGGAAATCAGTTTCAAAAACCACAGGCCTCAACTAACCTGAGCCCAAGCAAACCCCTTTGATTCCTGTAAGAAGTCTTTTCACTATTATTTTATCATTTTTGTACTAGAAAAGCACATTATTCATTTTTCTATACCAGGACTCTACTTTTAGCATCTCCCTGTTACATAAATCTGGAATTCAAGTATGAGGTATTTCAATTAGGATTTTACAATCATGTCACTTAAAATTTCCTTTGTGTTCTTTACTTTTCTGATATTTCTTTCTTTGAGTGCCTGTTAGAAAATTTAGTCAAGGGTTAGAATTTCCTGTTCAGAAAGGAAAATGAGGATTTTTGCTATGCTCCAGCACATTTCCTAATTTAGGATATGAAAAAATCTTGATTTCAGATGGATAACAATTCATTCAAAATGGACTTGTAAATTAAAGTAATGCACCTCATTGTCTGTTCAGTACTACTAGCTCAGAAACCCCTAAAATGACAAGGGCTCCATAAACCAGGGTCACCTGCAGCCATGCATTTAGCTAAGCCTGTCAGCAGTAGCATGTTACAAGGTAGCAGGACACATTCAGCAAAATTCTTTTTCCAATTGTCCCCACATTTTTAAGAACCACTCTTTGGTGTACTTACGTATTAAGAATATTACAAACGAAACAAGTGCCAAACTAACGATCAAAGTAAGAACAAAGGTGATGAAGAACAAACACTGTTTTCTTGTGTTGCTCCCTGCCAAGTTTTCTCCAGTACCAACAGTGTTCTCTTCCTCATCTGTTAAGAGATGACAAATCATTTGGTGATAAAGTTTGTTAAGGCTAGTTAGGATAAACATGGAAAAATGCTTCTGGCTTTGTGAAATTATGCAGAATACATCACAATTTTGGCTGACAGATTTTAGTTCCTGTGATATTGCATGAGAAGGGAAGAAACTGACTTTATGAGCTCAGTTTGAATTTGAAAATATAGAAACAAATACATCTGTTGTAGATGTTGGAAAATATTCAACAAAAATGTTTCTGTGGTTGAAATACACTGTTTTGTTGACCTGTTGTACAGTTCATAGTTTTACAGCTGGTTAAACATGCAAAGGTTGCAATGAAGGTTTCATCAGAAGGCTTTGTAAGGGCTTAGATGGACTTAACCTTTTGAAAAGAGAGGAGAGAAAAATTCATATTGAAAACCAAGGTACAGATTCATCCTACACATTCATCCTCTAGATTTGCTTCTTTTTGTATTTGATGATAGAAGTATCCCCAAGATGATTAATTTCCCAAATTAAGCACCTCACATCAGCTCCTGATTCTGGATAGGTTGAATGCAGGTCTTTATTTTTCTTATCTTAAAACAAATGTTTTCAATATTCTTCCTCATCTTTAGGATTTGTTGGTTTCATTCCAATAAAAAATGAGGTGCCTATCCTCCCAGTTGTCAGAATGGGACATAACTCTCATGGACTACACATGTTGTACTTCAACCACAGGAAACACGAGAGAAGAAAACCAGTTAAACAGTTGCAATGCTGTCCTTGAATCAGCTCAACAAGCCACTTTATTGCTTTTTGAAGTTTCTGTTGCA